CTCCTGGCCCCACTCCCCCCCCAACATTCCCAAAGCAGCAGAGTTTCTCTGTGAAGCCTCCTCCATCCCCTCAGTTGCCATCCCCCTCAGTGCCATCAGTGGTGAAACAGATAGTTAGCCAGTTCCCACCTCCTCCCACCCCACCTGCCACTGAGCCTCAGCCTCTGAAACCTCTTCCACTGACCGTGGCTCCACAGTCACCTCCAGCAGTGAAGGCAAAGCCCAAATGGCAGCCTGTTCCCGCTCCCTCACCAGACTTCCCCCCTCCTCCACCAGAGAGCAGCTTAGTGTTTCCTCCTCCACCTCCTTCCCCAGCTTCCTCTGCAGGTTCTCCCCCCCCTGACAAATCAGGGTCTCCAGTCAAAAAGACCGGCAAGACATCAAGCCCTGGAGCAAAGAAACCACCTCCAACACCTCAGCGAAACTCCAGCATCAAGTCCACCAGCTCCACTGAGTACCATGAGTCCAAGAGACCTTCGGTGGACCGCCTTGTCAGCAAATTTGCACACCCACCAGAGCCGTCAGGGTCTCCTTCCAAGGAGTCATCGCCTCCTGCAGCCCCTCCAAAGCCAGGAAAGCTCAACCTTTCTGGGGTGAGCCTGCCCATTGTCATTCCCCAAGGAGGGATCCCAGCAAAGGCTTCTGCTCTGGGTATGTCTGGGAAGGAACCTGTGGTCGAATTCCCTTCACCACCGTCTGATTCAGACTTTCCACCACCACCACCTGAAATAGATCTTCCTCTCCCGCCAGTTGAGATCCCATCCATGTTTTCAGGCAGCACCTCCCCAAAAGTCGCTGTTGTCAATCCCCAGCCTCAGGCATGGTCAAAACCATCTGTGAAAAAAGCCCCACCACCCACACGACCCAAGCGGAACGACAGCACTCGACTGACGCAGGCAGAGGTCGCAGAGCCACCAGGGTCAGCTGGCCCACAAGTGCCCACTTCACCCAAGTCCAGCCTTAGCGTTCAGCCGGGATTCCTGGCAGACCTCAACCGGACGCTGCAGCGGAAATCCATCACCCGGCACGGCTCCCTCTCCTCCGCCCGGATGTCCAGAACAGAGCCCGCAGCCACCATGGACGACATGGCCCTGCCTCCACCTCCGCCAGAGCTGCTGGCTGACCAACAGAAGATGAGCAGCTTCGGGGGCAGTCATATATCCGGCTATGCAACGTTACGGAGGGGGCCACCCCCTGCACCTCCCAAAAGGGATCAGAACACGAAGCTGTCACGAGACTGGTAGTCAGTCTGCAGGGGCCGGTGCTCTCCATGACTTGTGGGCCACCCCATGATCGGCCAGCCTGTGATCTTATGCACTTGGAGAGAATGTGGGGGTGTGGATGGTAGCCCCATCAAAAGAGGTGATCTCAAACTGTAGCTAAGGCTAAATATAAAGACATTCCCCTCCCATGGCTAGGCCAAAAAAGTTGGAGGCCTGGGGGTGTTATTTTATTGGGCAAGGTGGGTTGAGAGGCATTGACTTACCCTTTGAATTTCTTTTACCCTTCATAGGGATTGGACCAAAAACCCATTTTCTTATTTTTTCTGCATTTAGGGGAGGGGGGAGATAATTTTTTGTAGTGTCTATGTGAGACATGTTTGTGCATGTATTATAAGTGTAGGTATATAATATATTGTGATATATTTCGTCGCAATTATAGAAGATAACCAGAATGTTTTTGTAGAACCATATTTATTGTTTCAGTCGCTCTATTATCTGGAATCGGACTTGCCACAAAGAGGAAGATGTAGGGGGCACTTTAAAGAAAAGAAGAAAAAAAACCCCAACGAACCAAACAAAAAACCCCACAAACCGCCAAGAGGTTTGTGGGGGGTAAATGGTGCAGAGCTGAGATGTTCTGCTAGTAACTCTACATTGTCCACTGATTGAAAAGTACAGATGCAATATACCAAAACATTCTGGTCATAATACTACTGAAAATGAGTATGTTCTGAAGAAGAAAATAGTTTTTATATATAGTGGGCTGGAAGTGAATATATTTATACTATAAAGAGCCTCCCCCTCCCTTCCAAATAGTTTAAAAATATACACTGCTACAAATTATTTTAAAGTTATTTGCAGTAAGTGGGATAAATATATGTTATTCCAATCCAGTATGCATTCTAACTTTCTAGCAGGCTCGATTATTTGTTTCTGTGGCTCAAGATGAATATATTTGTGTTAACCCCTTCTGAAAGCTGCCAGGACTCCTGCAATTGATGCCGACCCACATGACTGACCCACGCCGATACATCAGCTGTACGTGTAATTCTCTCCCTGAGTGAACAGGTAGGTTTCTGTCAAGAGCGTTATGTTCTCTCACAAACATACACAAAGTGCAGTCTCACCTTGTCTGTGCCTCTATTATCTTTACAAAAACAAGTGTCTGGATACATTTAAAGAAAGTATTGTTTGTAATTCATTGGAAACTGTCAGGAAACTTTTCCTTCTAGAAAGAGAGAAGGGAGTGATCACTTCAGGCCAAGCACAGTGGGAATTCTCTCTTTTCTTTGACCGGCCACAGACTGCGACCATTGCATAAACCTGTTAATTATGAAGGTGCACTTCTAGCAGTCAAAGGAGAATACCCCAACCTTGACAGGCAATAACATTTTCTAATAATTAAATTTAAGGGCCCTTATGAATAGGAAATAGACTATCCATTTGCTTTGGTTTTTTTGTTTGTCACCTATTCAAAGTCAATCAGCAGATCAAGTATTAGAGTCCTTTTTCTTGTACTTCAGTAGCTTGCTTGTACAGTCTTACCTGCGTATCTGGACATTGCGATAAGGTAGCGTAGTTAGTGCAAGTGGTCTTACGTATCATCCATGTTCATGACAGGGTAGTGGTACAACCTTTCTAAAGTAACTAGAATACTTGGACTGTACCTACCCCAACTTTGGATGTTACGGCTTCCCTCAGCACCATGGGGATACTGTCAAGGCTCAGATGGCAAATGATTTTACTGTTTGTTTACCTTTTTTTCTAAAAGCAAATTTTAAATGCTTTCCTTCCCCCAAAGAATGAAACTAAGGAAGTAGCTTGCCCTGACAGTATCCTCAAGTGTGGAAACAAGATGTAAACTAATCTCTCATGAGAGTAATTCAGGCTGATAGATTTAAGAAATATTATGACAGTGTCCCCCATTCCTTTTTTTTAATGAAGTGTTTTTTTAAAAATCCAAATAATAAAATAAATATCTTTGTGAATAATTTATGAATAGGAAAAAAACTTTGCTAATTAGAGGGGGAAAATGACACATCTATAACTATAGTTTTAAGTAAGTGCATCATGAAAAGACAAAAATTAATGGTGCTGTCTCTGCTGACCTGTTTCATATGACTTTTTAAAAATCTGTTTCAGCACCTCTGGAAATTGTTTTAATATTTCAGACTAGTTTTTTTGAGCAATAAGAGTATATATTATTGTGTGCATTTTAAAGCACTGCTATGGAAAGGCACTTTTTTGTATCTTTCAAATTGTTCACAAAGTTTTGTTTCTACTATTTTTGTGCTTATAAAGTGTCCTTAAAAGCATTTGCATTGTTGATTTTAAGCATGCTCAGTGTAGCTGGCAAATGAATCCACAGGAAGGTTGTCAAACTATGCTGCAATTCATGGGTGCTGTAATTTTCAACATTGGTCCTCCTGCTGCTTTGTACTGTATGCAGCTCCTGGGGCTCACACCACCAGTGGAGCAAAAGGTGCACAGCTGCAGCCGTACTCCCCGAGCTGTTCCTGACCACGGGTAAGTGGGCACGTGCTCCTACTTCCTGGCAGGATGCCTCTGGGCTGATGCAGCGTGTGCTCCCACATGAGAGCAGGCAGGGAATCCTGTTTGCCCCATCTGGTTTTCTTTTCCCCCAAGACAGCTCCACTGGTGCATGTCAGTTCCAGGTCTTTTTCTTCTGTTCATTCAGTGCGGGTACCTCTGGGCTTTGGACTCGCAGAGCAATGTTGTGAGTGCAATTTCTTCAGAGGCTTTTGAGCTTTGTTCTTATTTTCCTGTGCCCAAGTTCATTTACCCGGTATCTCTCCCTAGATGATGCTTACTACTGCAGGCTGCTGCACAGCTTGCTGGGAGATGGAAGTTTAACTCTTAAATTTGCAGCAAAAAGAATGAGCATCAGCAAAGGCGGCACTCTGTACTATTTCTTGTTACAACTTACCTCCTGAGCCAGTAGCGATACAGAAATACAGTGAGTGGCTGCAGCTTGCTTTCTCTCTGCTGAGCACTGAAATTTGGCTGCAGTGTGGTTCAAACAACCCAGTTGCCTTTTCAGCTTGAGAACCCTCATTGTAACTTGCTTTTCCCGTGTATTTACTGTTCTAGTGGCAGTAAATATTTATGCCTTATTTGCAAGTAAGTTTATTTTCTCCTGTGTGCACTAGTCTCATAATCGCAGCATTATATTTATTTAAATCGGAAAATAACAGGGCCAGATCTCAGATACACAGCAAGAAGCTTCTTGCTACATACACAGGCTGTAATCCTTTTGGCACTACTAAAATGAGCATGTCCAGAGCTTTCATACTCTGGACACAAAGATAGCAGGTTCTTTGATCCTAAATACTAAGAGAGTACAGCTGCAGTTGTGTTACTTGATGAAGTGTATGGTCTTTGACATGCGTTAAGGTGAGTGTGAGAGAAAGCTCTGCTGCTGCAGGGGCAGCTGAAAGCACACAGCTGCATCCTTCATCTGTTCCAGATTTGGTCCTCATTTCCTCTCTGCCATGCAGCAGCAGCAGCAGCAGCCATCTCTGTGAGCAGCAGGACCCCTCCTGTTCAGCCAGGTGCCCACAGCACAGGTGTAGAGCAGAGAGCTCGTCTTGTTGGACACTATCATTTTAATTCAGGTCTTGGGGAGTTGCTTCAGAAGGGAAAACAGGCTCTTGTATCAGCACTAATCTTAGAGGAAGAATTATTTTAAAATAAATACAGATTCTAAACAAACCATAGGTAATATGTTTGAAGTGGGTATGCCCTGGGGGGCTCTGTTTAGTCTTACAAAACCTGCGGTTGAGGGAGGAGGTTAGGTACAAGTCTTACAATAAAAGAATCCACTTATTTCCTATGGAAGAGGAAAGCTCCTGTGGCAAACCACTACTGCTTGCTCTGACTTGGTGCGCAACCTCAAAGCCAAAGAGCTCCTCTCCTGCACTTCCTCTGCAGTTTCCTGCAGGGCTACAGTAACTGACAGACATCAGGGAAACAAAGTGGAGGCCCCTGGATCACTTTGGTTTCAGGTCTGACAGGAGAGGGAGCAGTTATTTCAACAAGTGCATTTTAAGATTTACTGTTCTGGACTTGCACATTTAAAGGTTTTTCTGATTTCTTCATTCTGTGCCCTTAGGCAACCAGATAAATCAGCTCAGAGATAAAGTGCGGCCAGTTTTCCTCTGAGTTAAAATTATCTTTTCCACAGTTAAAGGAACCAAAAGTGCCATTTCAACAGCAGAAGGGCAAAAGAGAAATTTTCTACTTATTACAGAAAACTGCATAGAACTAAGTTGTTTTACTTCACTGGTACCATTGCAGGTAAATTTCTTACTCAAAATAAGATTGTAAGTGAGCCTTATTATGAGTGGTACAGAGTCATGTTAAAATCAGTTGCAGTCCAGGAAAGCAACATAAATTCCTCACAGAGAGTAGTGAGGATGCAGCCGGCACATGGGAGGTTGGTATTTTTTTCCATTTTTTCATTGTTAAGGTGTAGGTTAAGTACTTGTTCAAACAGTGCTGCTCACTTGGCGATGAGCAGAGTCTTAATTCTTTGGGAGAGGAGATGTTTTCCCAAAGCCCATTTGTGGCACCTGGTGTTTGGCTTTGAATTCCCTTGCACAGCTGGGGCAAACTCCAAACCAGAGAGGATTTAACACTATATGAGATAATTTCTTATGGATGTTTTTGCAATGTGCTGGTGCGTTTTAAGATTTTTATTTTGGAATTATAAGTTTGCCTAAAGTTGAATAATTTTCCTTTCTGAATTCTTTTTTTTTCTCCTTCAAGTAAAACAATGCTCATGAAGACTGACAAGACCAGCTGTTATGTTGCAGGGGTCAGCACTCACTAATACTGTGATCCAATGAGTCACGAGCTTTATCTAGTTTTTGAAAAGTTTGAGACACTAAACCACAAATGAGGTGACAACACATGCTTGTCCCTCACAATGTAAATTAAAGTAATTGCCACTAACATGGGAAAAATAGTGATCTGGGCTGATGGCTATTTGGTGCTCTGAGGCACTTAGCAGGGCAAGTGAGCTCGCTGTTCATCAGAAGTGTGTATCTTTGGTGAGGAGAGGTCGAGAGATTGGAAGAACAGGAAGTAGTGCTATGTGCACTCTTCCCCACAGCAGGGATTTCATGAGGGGAAAGGCACGAGAAGGAACTTCAGTAACAGGTTTTGTAACCACCCCCCCACTCCCCCCCCCTTTATTTAATGCTTAAAGGCAACGTGTCTTTTAGGAGACTTTAGGATTTGAACCAACTGTTCCCTACAGTGGAAAACAGTTTCCTCCCACTTTTCCCAAGATGCCAAAGATGCATGTAGAGCTAAATTCCAGGTACGCAGATGTGCTTGCACCAGCCTGTCCCAGGGCTGAAGTGCCAGGAGCTGAAGTGCTGCTCACCTGCAGCAGTTATTTGGCAGGAGAAGAGAGCTGCCACTGTTAGACCTTTAACCAGCGCTGGTGCGTGGGTCCACATCTGCAAGGGGCAGAGC